GACATGCCTTGTTGCAAAAAGGTTGGGGAATAAATTCTCTGATAACCATTGGCAACTTAGGGACTTCACAGCAAAGTTGGTTGCTTTAATATGCAGGCGGTAGGGATCTCTTTATTCAGTCATTCTCTTGGTTTTGTTTCATCAAAGGCTAAAAAGGCATGCATCTCCTCTGATGTCTACTATTATTATTGGGTTCCAGCGGAAGAGGGTGGTTTATATCTGTATAATTGTTGACACATGTAAATCATTTCGTAATCTGCTCGAATGACGGTGCTTAGCAATTGCTGATCTTTTACTCCCATGATATTGGTTAATCTCCATATTATCAATTGGAACTGTGTTGCTCACAAGTTAAAGCTGTGCAGCTATGGTCATGTGTATCACAGTCTCCAGCCACGTATTACGAAGACTTTGCTGCATGCTTATCTTGACCCAACTAAGGCACTGCCCCAGCATTATGGAGCAATTCAAGGGCTAGCAGCTCTTGGATCTGGTGTGGTATTTCCTTGATATCCCTGTATTTTATTTTCATCTTTTTATTATTTATAAATTTTAAGCTGCAACCTGTGATGTTTATGAATTTTGTGTAGGTTCGCCTACTTGTGCTGCCGAATCTTGAGGCTTATTTGCGATTGCTGGAGCCTGAAATGCAGCTTGAGAAACAAAAAAATGAAATGAAGAGACATGAAGCTTGGCGTGTATATGGAGCCTTGATGGTGACTTGTTTGCAATGCTCTAAGAGTTTTTCGTATCAATTTGTCATCTTAATTCTTTGTAATGTTTTATGTTGCCTAACGTGAATTTTGGTTTTTAGGACTAATGATCTGCTTCACTGATCTCTTCCAACTGTGTTTTTGTTCACAGTCCACTGCAGGTCTTTGCATGTATGAGCATTTCAAGATGCTTCCTGCATCTGTATCTCCATCGAATCGGATATTCCTGAAGAATAAATGTAAAGTTGCAACAACATTGTCAAGTACGTAACCATCTACACTCAATAACTACAACTTTTAATTATTCAGGTTTTTTGAAGTTGTAGTATGAAGTTGTCCGCTAAGCATGTCTTTCTGCTTTGACTGTCCTTAACAATGGTCTTGAGAATGGTATGTTCTGTAAAACAATCTGTGGAGTTATTTTTATCTTGTTTCTGTCTCAGATTGCCATTGTTTTGTGGGATAATGTGGAAATTTTATGCTAAATTTCAGAGCACAAGCATTTTCCTGTCTGAAATACATTTGAATGATTTAGTGTTTTCACGTAGTATATAGATACTCCGTACTAATTAGGAACTCAGTAACCCCTTGTATATCTTAAAGCATTTACTGTGAAGAAATAGAATTTTGTGCAAGTCTGTATCTCCCTATAAGCTTTTGTGTTGTTGGTTCTGCCGTCTGCGTGCTTTCTTGGAAGTCCTCTTCCATGGATGTCTTCTGGCTCCAATTGCTAATCAATGCTAAATGTTATTTTTGTCATCCTTGATTATAGTGCACCTTTTTGAATGCCCCTTTATAATTGTCTAGATAAACGCAAAGCAAGCATGGACAACATGATCTCGCAGCCCCCACCCAAGAAATTAATGACAGATGGTCCCGCATGTGCAATGTTATCAAGTTCTTTGCCAGTAGGCATACAAGGAGCTATTGGTGGAAATGCCACAACCCTGGGTGTTACAGATGCGAGTTTATCATCAGGGCCACAGGGCTTGCAAAATGAGAATGCGAACAATTTGATGAGAGCCAGCAGAAGGGAGATTGCTGGTGGGAAAATCCAAAAAGCACCAGCTGCTCTTGGTCAGGCCTCAAAGAAGGATATGGATGCAGCAAATTTGTTGCCACCTTTATTTGAATATTTTGGTGACAGTATGTTATTCTTTGCACCTTCACCTGAGTTGTCATTCTTTTTGTGATCATCTTGTAGTGGCTGTAATAGGAAGGCGGGTTGCATAAATGCATGGCAACTGTGATTGTTCATGTTTATGAGTAATATACTTATAGTGTTCTAATATATAATGCATCTTCCCTTTTGACCCCATATCTTAAATGTGATTCCCGTAGAAGAGGATCAAGATCAATAGCTTTGGCCGGAATAGTGAAATATGAAATGTGCAAGTATAATGCTTTACATCATGCGTCTCTATTCAAAAAAGTGTGCTTATGTGCTGAACTTACTGATTAGTTTGATACCCCTTGGGAGAAGTGTTTTAGTTGACTTGCCGTTATCATTCTCTCTCTGCTGTAGCCTGTATGGCTAGATTGCAATAACTATTTGGATTGTTGAATTAGGCTTGCATAAAAAATAAAAAAGAAACTCGGATGTTCTAGAATTTTGCCTCAAATGGTCAATACCTTGGGGTTTGTTTGGTTTGAGAATGGGATTAGGCTGTTACTTGACCAAGTTATACTGAGGGAAATACAATTATACAAGATCTGTAATACTTGTTGAGTTGTACCTTGCGTGGTACATATACGGTATAATAAATGTTTTTAGATATTCAGATGATCTCATACCAACAATTTGACATAAACTCCAGCAGGGTGATTTTTGCCAAACTGTGCAGCGAATAATCATAAACTATGAAGGTGTATGCATAATTAAGAGATACTAAGTATGTAAGAACATACTTTTCCAACCAAAGTGACTAATTTACGAGTCTCATGTTCATTAGAGAGGAAATCAACAGGTAACGGCATTTTACAGGCAAAAACGTGCTGTACAGGCAGATCATAAGAGAGCACAGCAGAGTATGAATGTGATGCATTTGATAAGAATCATCACTATGTCTACAGCCAAATGCAAACACCAATCAGCAAAACATGTAAATACAAAGAAAGTAAAAAAGAAAAAAGTAAGAAAAGAGAAAAATGAAGCCGTAACAAACTATATAAAGGAGCTAAAAGAACAGCCTCCGAGTAGGTGTTCGTGATGTTGTCGAAGGTGAGGTTGATGACCTCAGGGTAACAGGTGATGCCATGCTTTCTTGGATTACTGGGCCTTTATCAGCAAGCTTTGCACCTCGTGGGTCAGAGAGAAGAGTCTTCTGAAAAGACTGGGTAAAACCAGTTGCAATTATGGTCACGTGTATTTCGCCATTGTAGCGCTCATCCACAACAGCACCAAATATGATGTTAGCGGAGGGATCAGCCAGACTGGTAACAACCTGTGAGAAATATTGCCAGCATTTCAGCATTACAAATATCATTCTCATTTTCCAAAAAGAGCTGAAGGTTTCTTTAATACACCTGGGGAAGAAAGAAAGAAAGGAAAGAACACTCATCATCACCTGAGACACCCTATTCACTTCCTGCAAAGTTATGTCTTTTCCTCCTGTAATGTTGTATACTACCCCAGTTGCAGATTGAATGGACGATCCAATTAGAGGGGCAAGAGTTGCTTGTTCGGCTGCTTCTTCAGCACGGTTCTTGCTTGATGAAACCCCAACTCCAAGCATAGCAGTTCCAGAATCTTTCATCACTGCCTTTACATCGGCAAAATCCACATTTACAAGCCCAGGTATCTGCAAATAGAAGGACCGCTTCATAATTTATCCAGATTTATAGCACATAATACAATAATGTCTATAACATACTAAGTTGCAAATACGTAGATTACCAGTCCTGTTTTAATCGGGAAAGTTCTTTTCTGAAGCCCTTCATGAGATATTAAAAGAACATAACCTCTGCAATATTATATTTAATACAGAAAAAGTCCATCATAAAAGATTCGTTAAGACAGTGAAGCAACTGGATGGTATGCCACAGTTCATTACTCTTGAACCTTTTTGCATTTGGCGTTCAGTCGCAGAAAATGCTATGTTGATTAGAAAAACAAGTAGGCCTCTTTTTTATGCCAGCGTGTGTTCGCAAGTGTGTTTTTGAGAATTTAGTAAAGTAACTAAAACCAGTATGATGACATTATACATTTGTATAACACAACAAAGAATTTCAGTATAATCATTAAAAGAGAGAGATACTGGATTTCGACAAAGGAACTCACAGTAATTATATCGGAAATTCCTTGGACACCTTGGCGTAATACATCATCAGCAAGAAGAAAAGCATCTTGAAGTGGTGTCTGCTCATCAGCAATATCTAGCAGACGGTCATTGGGAATTACTATAAGGGTATCTACATTTTTCTGAAGTTTTTCAATTGCTTCCAGAGCCTGTCGGTCAATAAGTGAAAATTAGAAACATGAAAGGATATGGATGATAGGAGCATAAAACATAGCCATGGAAACAATCTTTTTTTTAATGACAAGGAACATAGGACATTGGCGCAAAAAAGAAAATCAGCCAGTTAGAAAAGTCAGAATCATGTTCCGATTTAGGCATATGAACACCTTTGCATTAAGAAGCAATTTATTTCCTTTAGATCCATCAAGGGCAAAATGTTTGTAAGCGCTTCCAGTTATTTATATACCCAGGTTAAGCGCATAATGGGATTAAAACGAGGCAAAGAGAAAAGGTTTAGTTTTGTTGGTACAATTACATTAGCTATGGTGTTTGCCAAGAGTCTTATAATTTGTTTAGAAATTGGTATGTTGGTAGAAAGGAAGACAATCTACAACATAATATGATTCTCTACAAACGATACCTAATCTAGAGAAAGTTCCTATGGTCATCCTTCTACGAGTGAGATACTGAAGACTAATCATCCTGAGGCTGTGAGAGCAGAGGTGTATTCGAAGGACCATATTTTGGGAGTCACTTAATAGTGAAGGAAATATTCACATACCACCTAAGCATGACAGCTATCTAATATAAGTTTGAAGCTTTACTATGTTCCCTCTAGATGTCTAGAGTTCATCAATGTTAGCTTAAGTTTGAAGCTTGATACAATATGAGTTTCCTTGCGCATCTCAATATTTCATCCCTAAACTTGCAACTGTACAACTCAATACTATGTTCATTTCCTTTCTTCATCCTTACCTCACTCCCTTTCACATCAAGCATGTTTCACTAATTGATGGAAATTGAAAATGCATCTTCCTATACGATTTGCACCTCTTAGTGGAAATGTCCCGTTTTGGACAGTGATGCGCCAGTTAAACCAGAACCAGAAAAAAAAAAACAGCCTTTCCAATTGCTTATTCTTTATTTTCTAGCAATTTCTTCCGTTGTGAAATGAATATTCCTCCCTTTTTATGCTGGGACATCCTAACATGCTTTAACATTTTCTAGTTGTTGTGAAATGAAAAATCCCCAAAAAGTCTAGGAAAAAGAAGCAAAATTCTATTCTCCAAGGAGCTGAAAATGGCACCTGCCTGCACGGATCTTTTACGTCCTTCAAAGCTGAATGGGTATGTGACAACACCAACAGTCAAATAGCCTGCTTCTTTTGCTATTTGAGCCACAACAGGAGCAGCACCAGATCCTGTACCTCCACCCATTCCTGCTGTTATGAACACCATATCTGAACCTTTTAGAGAATTTGCAATGGCTTCCTTCGACTCCTCCGCTGCCTGTTCCCCTAAAAGAGGATTACCACCAGTACCTGCATTTCAAGAAGCAACTTACGTAACAAATCATTACATCAAATCAAGAAGCATAAAAGTGTTTAACAAGTTAGACTGTTAAACACAAGCCTCAAAATCTATAGCAAAACAACTCGTAGGGATGGTAATTGGATCCGGGCAGGGCAGGGCAAGATTTAAATGGGACGGGGCAGGGCAGTATAGGCCAAGTTTTGGGTTAATAGCTGGGTTGGGTTATTTTTGCTCTGTTTTCCCAATTCCCACTTTAAATATACACATTGTAATGATAACTACATTGTGAAATTTTATCTATTTGTTACAATTGGATAATTTTTTAAATTAGATTATTTTTTCTCCATATTAATGTACTTTCTTCCTTATATAGAAGGCATGAGGAAATAAAGAATCGACTTTCCAGTTGTTATAGAGTGAAAAATGTTGTTCTGTGAATTGTTGTTATATGTAATTAAATTTGTGTTTCCTACTTCATAGGAGTATTAGAAAGAAAAAAAAGGTGAGGATTTTACTATTACCACCCAACTGTCACTTCTGATAGCATTGCGGCTTTGGCTCCATTGAAGTGCATGATTCTAATAGTTCTTACTGCTATTTATGTGCATGCTTATATTTTAGACTAAATAACATTGATATAAAATATATTTTATCAATATACATAAACAACTCTTATTCACATGTCAATTTTAAATATTTCATTAAAAAGGTAAAAAAAATGTTGCAAAAAATTGAACGGAATGTTGCAAAATGAAAAAAAATAGAAAAATATGAAGGATAGTCTAAATGGGGCAGGGCAGGGCGGGTCAAAAGCTTAGCAGGTCAAAGCTTGCCCTCCCCTCCCCTGCCCTGCCCTACTCTACCCCACCCCAATTGTCATCCCTAAAAACAAGAAGCATCCACATCCAGAACAACATGTGATTCCAGATGATGCCATATAGGCAAAATAATACTATGTAATTTCATAAAGTCAGGATAGAGTATAACTGTCTTGATGTTAGCTTCCGCCGAAGTTATTTTAACATGGTTGAGATTGAAAATACAAAAGAGCTAGTACAATGTTTGATTAATGAAAAACTGCCAGAATAGAGAGTGTGAAAGAAAGATTTCTTCATAGAGAGAGAAGAATGCTAACCAAGCCCACGAGTCAGAAGTTCTCCAATTTGAAGCGGGTTTTCAGCAGCAGACTGTAGCAGTGCTTGAGCATCCGTGTTTATAGCATAGAAGTCAACACCCTAGTTTTGGACATGCAACAATGAGATCCATCATGTGAAATGAAGGGATGGGATCATGACATAGGCGTCTCAACTAATTCTCACTAATAGAAAGCAAACTGGAGGATGATAAAGACCAGGTCAAACAAACAAGTAAAGAGATTTCTAGCTTTTCTTCGTGACATGGATTTGTTAACCAAGCCAATGATAACTCATATACAACTTTGTGAATAAGATAGCAATGACAAGACAATAAGGGAGCCAATAAAATGTCCAAATTTTTTCACATGAGGGTTACAGAGAATCCAAGTGTAACTACTTGGTTGCTAAGAG